ATCCAACATTCTTAGCAGAGGATGGTTTCGATCCATCGACCTCTGGGTTATGGGCCCAGCACGCTTCCGCTGCGCCACTCTGCTAACCACCCTCACCCCAGATGGGACTCGAACCCACAATCCCTGGCTTAGGAGGCCAGTGCCTTATCCATTAGGCCACTGGGGCTTGTATGCAAATGTCCGAGCACACACACACACGCACGCACCCACACGCGCGCGCACACGCACATAGCAAGCTCATGGCCACATAATTCAGAATAACTCAGGATATGTATACAGGGTTAAACTGGGATTTAGGAATTGGAGAGGCCTACTTCTTTAATGAATTTCACCAATAATGTGAGATATTTTATTGAAATTTTTGAAATTGAATTATGTGAATATGCCGCACTGCATTGATGATTTTCATCTTCTTTCAGTCTCAGATGTGCCCCAAATTTGTCCAGCATTTTATGCCTCCATTTTGCATTTATTTTAAATCTATATTTAATTTCCATTTTCAATTTCCTTTTTTTTTTTTAGCTATGCAACATATGATTTTTTAGGATGGAAATTTTATGAATACATTTTATACAGCACTTTGTTTACTTCTGATGCTGTGTGCAGCCATGTTGATTTAATGTCACGCCATAAACTGAGAAAGGACTTGTAGTTGAGAAGACTATCTAAAGTTGATGAGTAGGAATTTCGAGTTGAGGAGGTGTTTTCCTTGGTTTTTCCAGGTTGTAGTCTGGGAATTACAAGTTGCACCTGTCAGGTAAATGCACCAAACAAATACCCAGGCCTTCTTTGTGTTAGAGGCATTAAAACCCAATGTCCTTAGCAGAGGATGGTTTCGATCCATCGACCTCTGGGTTATGGGCCCAGCACGCTTCCGCTGCGCCACTCTGCTAACCCCATGCAGGTGGCCAGAATTTATACATTTATTTATATATTTTTGAGAACCTGTGAACTGTTAGTACATTTTGTTTACAATATTAAACCTCTGATCATAGGTATTTTAGATTTATTCAGTTGTATACAGATGAAAATGCCCATTGTTTTGCACTGTTTATGATTCAGAAATAAGAAAGGAGTGTTTTCAGTCATAATTTTTCTTCATTCAAATTTTGGTCAAAATATTCTGAGAATTGAAATGAATTGAATCTCTTTGTGACTGGAGTGTATCGTTACACCCCTACCTAAAACACTTATCTTTTCCCATTATTGTGATACTTACACACTTTATGCCTACACTTTGCCATTCTTTTTAATTAATTATATCTATTTTAACTTTTTTATTTCCTCCCTGTGCTCTTTTATTTCGCTTTTAGTTATTTAAAACACAATTTTTAGGATGATAATTCTATGAATACGTCCTCCAATATAATGCCATGTCATGACTATCCTGATTTAGAGCAAAAGGAATTAGAAAATGTCTAGCGATGAATGTCATGGAAGCACCTCACTGTTCACAGGATACGTCTTTACTATAAAAAAAAAAAAAAAGGCCAAAGAAGGCCATTTTCTTTGGCTTTTCCTAGTTGTAGTCTGGCAGTTACAAGTTGTGACCTCAAGCTGAATGTAGCAAAAAGCTGCAAAAAGCCCAGACCTCCTTTGGGTTAGAGGCATTAAAAAGCGCTTCCCGTAGCAGAGGATGGTTTCAATCCATCGACCTCTGGGTTATGGGCCCAGCACGCTTCCGCTTCGAGATGGGACTCGAACCCGCACGCACGCACACACACAGAGAGTGCGAGCTCATGGCCACATAATTCAGAATAACTCAGGATATGTATATAGGGTTAAACTGGGATTTAGGAATTGGAGAGGCCTACTTCTTTAATGAATTTCACCAATAATGTGAGATATTGGATTGAAGTTTTTGAAATTGAATTATGTGAATATGCTGCACTGCACTGATGATTTTCATCTTCTTTCAGTCTCAGATGTGCCCCAAATTTGTCCAGCATTTTATGCCTCCATTTTGCAATTTTTTTAAAATTTATATTTAATTTCCATTTTCAATTTCCTTTCATTTTGTTTTTAGTTATGCAACACATAATTTTTAGGATGGAAATTTCATGAATACATTTTATATATGGCACTTTGTTTACTTCTGATGCTGTGTGCAGCCATGTTGATTTGATGTCACGCAATAAACTGGGAAAGGACTTGTAGTTGAGAAGACTATCCAAAGTTGATGAGTAGGAATTTCAAGTTGAGGAGGTGTTTTCCTTGGTTTTTCCAGGTTGTAGTCTGGGAATTACAAGTTATGACCTTGAATCAAATGCAGCACATGCTGCCTGGACCTTCTTTGTATTAAAGGCTTTAAAACAGGCAACGCTTAGCAGAGGATGGATTCGATCCATCGACCTCTGGGTTATGGGCCCAGCACGCTTCCGCTGCGCCACTCTGCTGATTTCACATGCCCCAGATGGGACTTGAAAACACACACACACACACACACACACACACACACACACACACACACACACACACACACACACACACACACACACACACACACACACACACAGAGAGAGAGAGAGAGAGAGAGAGAGAGCGAGCTCATGGCCACATAATTCAGAATAAC